GTATGAGTGAGCAGAAATCCACACACACGCCATCATCCACACTGACAGCGGTACGCACTCGAAAACTAATCTCATTTAGATCATACAACTGTTTAATACATCGATTAATCTGTTGCTGAATTTTCATGGCCGATTTTTACAAGAATGAAGATATGTAAGATAAATGGACAAAAATCTGTCTTTCTTTGTATTAATAAAATCGAGATTAGATGTCTCGCGATCTGCGAACGGTATAGCATACTAGCATGCTTGAAATAATCACGCAAAGTGTGACTGTGGATATGAATGCTGGTACGCGCGAACAGACTAGGCATACCAACACCTTCACTCATCCACACCCCGAACAATTAAACTTTTGTTATATTAGAATGTTACACAAAATAATTACCAGATTGTATAGTTTTCGTTGTTAGAAGCATCACTGTTCTTGAAAAAAAATTCGATTAATAAGTTTCTTTCATATTTTTAGTTATTTAGGATTCATTAATTTCTTATTTTGTTCGTTTACCGCTGTCTATCAATCTTTTGAGTATATATATCGATACTTACTTCTCATCCAAATACTTTTCTATTCAAATTGCAGAACTTTCTCGAGTGTAATTTAGGAGCTTGTATGTATAGCATAACTGTATCTGTTGCATTCATGTTCAAATTGGCATATTGTTTCCACAATTATTATGATCGCTTCTCAAAACAGTCCAGTAGCATATGCAATACTTTTCATGTTTTAAAACTTCAACAAGTTCTCTTTATAACCGATGGACCTGGTATCATTGCATTCTGCATATTTTCAATATTTTTTCTCTACTTTCCATCTAATTGGATTAATTATTTACCAAAATATTTTCAACATGTGTTAAATGCATCATAATCATTTGATACGACCTCATCTAAAGTGTAAGATATCATTCCATTTCACATTTTCATATTACGTTTTAGTGCTTGAACTTCAGTAGAAACCTTACTAGAAACGTTTTTAATTGATAGTTTGAATAAATTTCCCGCTAACAATGCTAATCACAATAAACAGATCAAATTATGAATGTAAAACCTTTCTTGGTAAGTTTCTTCTGAATTTCAAGAGTTACAACGTAATATGAAAACGTATCTCATGATTACGACATATTCAAAACATTAAAGATATTTCTAATCATAGACTGCAATATACGATTTTGTACAACATCACTCATGGAATACTTTAGTACAATAATTAATCCAATTAGAGGGAAAGAAGAAAAATATGAATGAAAAAACCTACGAAAAATGCAATTATTTCTAGATTATCTATTACATACAACATATTCGTATATGAAGGAATTCTATTTATACTATTTTTTTCGAAGACATACACACGCAAATAAGAAGCAGAAGAAAAAAAAATGAAATAAACAAATAAGAAAATATGCACAAGAGTTGATAGAAGATAGACAAAAAAAAATGTTGTTGAATAATTTTAATCTGAACACATAGGTTCACTTTGATAATTAGATAGACTTGGAGAATTACATAATGGTCGAAGTATAATTGTTTTTGATGATGGTGAATCTTCAGGTACAGGTGTTGTATCCATAGAATCATCTTGACAAGTATCTGTTACTACTTTTTTAATATATGTTGCTGCTGTTGGTTTGACATCTTCTTTTTTAGCAAGGATATTTTCAACTAAATCAACATATGACATTAATTCATTAGCTTCATCAGCTTCAAAACCCTAGAGAAAAATACATAATTATAAATTTGATTTCTTAAAAAATAAACAACAAAACGAACTTTTTCAATAGTTTGTTCAATAAGTTTTGTTAATAAATAACGAAGTTCATCAATATCAGTAACACAATCAACAATAAATTGTGGATCAGGTCCTTGTATTAATTCATTTGATTGTTGTTCATCATCATATGCCATTAGTACTTGTTGACATGATGCTATTTCAGAATTAAGATAAGCAATTGTACTATCTAATTTTGTTATTGATTCACGTATTGGTGTTGATGGTGTTTCTTCAGATTGTTCTTTATCAATTTTATTCAAAACAATTGTTTTATGTAATCGTTTACAATAACGTTCACGTTTACGACTTGCACGTTCACGATTTTCTATTAATGTATTCATATCTCGATTTATACCAGCAATAAGTTTTCGACGACGTATAGCATTTGTAATCTAGAATATTTCATGTAAATAAGATAGAAACATGGTAAAAAATAAATATTAACTAACATACGCCTTGTTGTATAGCAGCAAAATGTGCAGTCATTTCTTTAGTTGTTTTACGCATCCGTGCTGAACGCATTTGACGTCGTAATAAATGTACCTAAACAACAAAAGAAAACATTGAATTTAATTTAAAAGAGAAATAAAGAAAAGAAAATTTTCGTATTCTTTTACAATAAATATAAGATTATATCATATGATGATATGATTGATAGTTATAATAGATAACACTATAATTAATCTTGTCTATACCTAATCGATCGCACATTAAAATATTAATATAAACATCTATTTTTAAATTTTTTGTCGGTATTTATAATGTTTTTTGTTTATTAATATTCATGACCATTAAGGAACAGACTGTCTTGACTATGACCTCGACAAATCTAATTTAATTGCAGTCCTGATCTAGAGAAAACTTTTCAAGAAGTTATTCGTATCATACCTTAAGAAATTCTTCAACATTCGGTTTTCTAATTTATTTAGTCAACGACTACTACTTTTTGGATCTTTTCATAGTTCCAATCCTGATCTCAGCAACTTCCTTGTCCTGTAGTCTCACACATTCCTCGTCTGAACATTACAAGTATGGTTTCTGATAGAAGTAAATCTCTCCAAAGTTTATTTTGTATTTGAATGATATTAACTTCTTAATTATACAGCATTAGAATCAGTCAATTGTCTATATATTTTTTACTGTCGTTCATACTTTAAGAATATCTATTACGATCTGTGATTTGAGAGAAAGAATACCCCGACTTTCGGTATAGGGTGCTGATCGGAGACAGTTTCAAAAAGTCCGATATTTTCCTGTGCACAATGATTAACCACAAGGATTCGTGTATGTCACAATGTAGTCAGTATACTATCGCACGGATGATTGAAAATACAACTGTCAGTGACTTGTTCAAGGTCGCTCCATGTCTGATAGCGTCGAGGTTCGAACAGTATTTTAGTAGTACGTGCCAAATAACTTAACCATAGCGACTTTGTAAGTTGAGAGTAGAGGTTAAAGTATCTAGCTTTTGTCTTATTGACATCTTTTATCACGAACTCTTTAACAAATCGAAGACATGTCTATAAATCTCATCGTGTATTATATGTGCAGCTGCTTTGAAATTTACATTCTGATCGTACAGGTATTATGCTAACTATTTTTGTTTAAAACTAATCAATTCCAGATAGAAAATTAACCATAAAACTTCTGAATTTATTCTATTCAGAATTTATCATCTCATTACATGAATAGAAAGAAAATATATGGAAATTGTATCATACCTCTTCTTGTTTACGTTTTAGAATCATTTCTTTTTGTTTATGTTGAGCACGTAATGTTCGAATAACATTGTCTTTTTGCATTTGTGTCTAAAATAAAATCAATTATTAGTATAATTTAATTTTAATCTATATGAAAAACTATACTCGTTTAAGTGTAGCAATTTCTCTTGCTTTAGCTTGTTCAGCTTGTCTATGTCGAATAAATTCTTGACGTAATTCACGTGATAATTGAACTTTCATTTTACGTAAATCTTTTAATTCATTTGTATGTTTTGCAAGTTCTTTTTTATAATATTCACCATCTTTTAAACAAACAGTATATTGTGCACGTAATGTTGATAGTTCATTATTTTCAATTTCTAATCGACGAATTTTTTCTTCATAATCACGTCTTGCTAATTTTAATTCTTCAATATTATATTGATCACGTGCAGCTGAATCTAAATTCAAAATAATAAATTAGAACAAAACAAAAAGACCGTTAGCAGAATCCCTATGGGAGTAAAATATGAAACACGATTTAGCTACTGTTACTAATCACAAGGAGATTCTTGTATTCTAAGACATATTTCTTCATCATTCTTTTATTTAATCCTTAAAAAATGTAATAGGACAGTAGTTCATATTTTACGCCATATACTTCAACATTCCTTTTAGATCGTGTTTCGCAAAATGAACTTACTTAATTTCGTAACAGCTGCTTGTTTTTCATCTTCAGCATTTTGTATACGTTCTGAAAGAACTTTGATACGTTCTTCATATCGTTGACGTATAAGATCACTACGTTTACGTGCACTTTCAAGCATTTCAAGACATTTTTGTTTAGCATTGATTTCAGTTGTAATGATAACTAATTTTTCTTCTTGTACATCAGCTAGAAACAAAAATGAATTTTTCAAAAAAAAAAATTCATAAATAAAGTTTGTATAATTATTACATTCAGTTTGACCATCATCAACAGGCATTTGAGCTTGTTCATCTTCATCATCACTATTAACAATATTTTCTTGTTCATCAATAATTTGTATATTTGAAGGATTATCAATAATATCTGATGAAGGATTTGTTGAAAGTGGATAAATTGTTTCAGATTTTTGTTGTTCTTGAATTTCATGTGGTTCTTGTGGTGAACCTGGTATTGTACTAATACCAATACGATTTGATTTTGCTGAACCACTAAAAACAAAAACAAAAATCGATAATTTAAAATTATAGATTTTATATGCAAACCTTTCACGAAGTAATTGTTCTTCTCGTCGAAGACGATCAATTTCATGACGAATATCTTCAATACATGGTTGTAACTCATCCGAACCCATTGGACCCTGACTAAAATCAACTGATAATGGTTGATCAGCTGAAAATGATCCTAAATAAATAATTCAAGAGAATCAATTAACTTATTCATTTAGTTAAATAAGCTTTCAAATTATTAATAAAAAAATCAAAATCAAAATATATTCTATCAATAAGTAAACTATAGTCACAAACAACTTTATTAGAACTAAATCACATTTTGAATAGACATCATCTTCTTTTATAAACATTCAAAAAAGTTAAATTTTTCTATCTTTTTAAATATCTGTCGTATTTTAATCCATTTAAATAACATCCACATCATTTCTCATACAAACACTAAATCTAAATATAAAAGGAGATCACGATGAGTGATAGAGGAACAAATATTAAGAGTATTCCCTCTCCTCTTTTTGGTCATATCTGGTTCTCGAAAAGGGATATAACTGATCCGCATGGAATTTTGACCACAGATAGAGCAGATACAATATTTTTTTCTTTATCAAAAATTTGACTTTATTTTTTCTTTTATGAGAGAAATACATCAAAATTTGAATCTAAACCCAAGGTATTGTTATGCAAATCAGTCATACTCTCTTCGAGAAATAGAAATAGTCAAAAAAGAGAGCGCGCAGTGTCCTTAAAAGATGTTTCGCTAATTTTTCTTTTTTTGAAAGATATATGAGGATAGCATGTGTCTATACTTCATTTTACATTTAAAAAAAGAATATTAAAATCATGACTTTTGTAATTCAGTGTTTTATTCAACGTGAGTGAGGCACCTCTCCAAAAATCGAGAATAATTCATATGGATAAAACATATGCATTACAATGCGAGTGTTGTTTTTTTTTTGTTTGTTTATAATATAGTAAAACCTTTGAAATATGAGCATTTCCTTATTCTGAACAGTGGGCGCTTATTTTTGATCCGATGAGTAATAACAGACTCTGTAATGTGAGTAACATATGTGCTTTGCTTCGCACGCAGAACGAGAAAAAAATGATGTTATTTGTTCTGTGTAATGATAAACAATCATGGAAAAAGTGCATGAACTAGCCGTGAATATTTAAAATAACAAAAAAGATAACATCAACTGATGTCCACACAATTAAATGAATTAATTTTCAGAAAGAAGATTATCTTGGGCAGTTGAAAAGCGATTGCAACTGAATATTCATATGTG